CGTGTACCCCTCAGGAACTCGGAGCACCGACCCTGCACAGGAGTCCACGTCATATGTCATCCCCCGGGATGGGAACACAGGCTTAGGTCTGCCAGTCATGTCCCACACCTTACCACCCCACTGCACCAAGCAGAGGGTGGGCACCCCTCCTGGCTCCAGTTAGCCCTCAGGTCAAAGGCCGTTAGGAGGTGCCGTGTGGCTGTGGGTAGAATACATGGGCCAAGGGCCCCAGGGCAGGACCGGGCAGCTCTGCCTCTTGTCACTTCCTGGACCACTGGTGCCTTCACGTTCTTCAGCCCTCTGCTGCTCTGGGCTTTGTGGGTTCAGAAGTTCTGTCTCCCAAAGCTTCCTTCAAGTGACACAAAAATGTGCTGTTGACCTACGATCTCTGGATGCCCCTTTGTTTCCCACGCCTGGGTCACAGGCAGGGCCACTTGCCTCTGGTCCGCAGGTCGAGGGAGGGATGCTCCACACTGGGCCCCCTCTTGCCCAGTGTGGTAAATGGCCAGCCCAAGACGGTCACGGTGACCAAGGCCTAGGTCTCTCGGAGAAGGGGCCACATCACACAGTGATCCACTGGGCCTAGCAGGGCTGGTAGCTGATGGTGAGCAGAATGTCGCCCTGCTTTGGACACCTCTCAAGTGTCCTCCAAGCTCCAGAGCTCCTGAGGGCTCAGCTCAGGCCTTTGCTGGGCCTTCACTGCAGCTCAGCTTCTACTGACACCCCATCCTGTTCCTTTTCCTCCTTTCTTCAGGGCTGGACACAAAGAGCCTCCCTATTCAATGTCCTCAGAGTCCAGGAGCGTGGCCTGGAGTAACCCTGCAGGGCCTGTGAGCCACTGCAGTGACCCTGGATCTGGAGTGAGGTGGGGGCCCTTGGGGGGCACAACTTGTTTTCTGGCTGGAGTAGTGAGAACGCCGCGGAGGGGCCATGCTAACCCAGGAGAAGGTGAGAGTAGCTTGGTCTCAGAGGTCACAGTGGGGCTGAGATTCTGCACGTTCTGGAAGGTGGGACCAAATGGATCCGGGGTGAGCGGCAGAAGGTGCAGGCGTAAGCCAAGGCTTTTGGCCTGAGCAGTTGGATGGGTGGAGCGGCTACCACCTGTGCCCACAGAGACCGGGCAGAGGGTGCAGTAGACTGAATGCTTGTGTCCCCCTCGCCCACTGAAATTCTAAAGTGACGGTATTAGGAGGTGGTTAGGTCATGAGGGTGGACCCCTCATGGTAGGGTTAGTGCTCTTATAAAAGGGACCCCATAGAGCTTCGCAGCTCCTTCCACCAGTGAAGAGCCCTGAGAAGCCGGCCCTCTGCAACCAGGAAGCGGGTCTCACCAGCACCCATCCACGCTGGCTCCCTGATCTCATACCTTCAGGCTCCAGAAATGTGAGACATAAATTTCTATTATTTGTGAGCCACTAGTCTAGGTACTTTGCGATGGGAGTCCCAGCTCAGACAGAAGGTTTGGGAGAGCCTGAGGTTTCTTTCCTGTTGAGGAGTTAGGCTGGAGACCCTGGGAGCCCTCCTCCGCGGAGCATGGCAATCTGGCCCTTTGACATAAACGAGACTGACAGGCACATACCTGGCATTTTTAGCCAACAGGCTGCTGGGTCCTCTGGAGGGAGATGAGACCGGGGTGCAGACACAAGCTCAGCCCCGCCCTCCCAGCCCCCTAGCTCTGGATTCAGGAAGAGAAGCAACCAGCCAAGGAGCCTGAGAAGCGGCTGCCAGCCTGTGAGGGAGGAGGGCAGTCCCCAAAGCAGGCCCTGGAGAGCTCACTGCAGCACCCGCACAGGAACAGTCCAGGTCACAGCTGGTCCCCCAACAGGCCACCCCCGCCCCAGCTCTCCCTCTTCCCCGCTGTTCCCTCCTGAGCACTGTTTCACCCGGCAGGGTGGGCACTGATGGCCAGGTGATGCGGGCAGTTCTGGGGACAGAGGGGCTGTGGTTTCAGCAGCCCTGGTCCCGAGGAGCCCCGCCTAGCCCTGCCCTCAAGCCGAGGCAGCGGCCCACCCACCATGGCCCTGAGCTGGTGCGTCCGCCTCCTTTCGTCCGCGGGGGCGGGGGCTCTGGGGGGCAGACCGCAGCCACCGCATGGCCCCACCAGCAGCCGTGGAGGGGGCTCCCTAGGCTGGACTACCCGGACAGGAGGGGCTCTGGTGGCCCCGCACCGGCCCCCAGCCTCTACGGGGTCAGTGTTTCTCCGAGGGGGGCGGAGCTTTCTGTGGGGAAGGGGGACTCTGCGGGGGGTGGGGGAGTGGGGGGTGGGCTTGCGCAGGCGGGGCGGCGGGGCGGTCGGGGCGACCGCTCAGCTCCGGGCTGTCATTTGTCGTTAAATTTAGCGGCGGGCCAGTCAGTCGGGCGGCGGCGGGGACTATAAGCGGCCGGGGCGCCCACCCTCGAAGCAGGAGTCCGAGCGAGGAGACGGCGCTGGAACCCATGGACACGTCGTACCCCCGCGAGGACCCCCGGGCCCCGACGCCCAACAAGGCCGACGGCACGGCCCACACGGCCCTCACGCTGGGGGCGCCGCTGCCCCCACCTCGAGACCACTTGATCTGGTCGGTGTTCAGCACCCTCTACCTGAACCTGTGCTGCCTCGGCTTCCTGGCGCTGGCCTACTCCATCAAGGTGGGCCTTGGGGCGCTTCGAGGGGGCCCAAGAGCGTTTCATGGGGGCTGCTTATCAAGTTGGGGTGCAGGAGTCTCCACGGGGCCGTCCGTCAGCCTGACGGTGGTGGGAGCCCCTCCCTCATGAGGGCTTCACTGAGGCTGGGGTGCTGTTCATAAAAACGAAAAGGGGGTCTAGTTTGTCCCAAAGAGCCCAGGGTCGATCGGGCCTTACCCAAGGGGGTCTCTTCCATCAAACGCTGAGAGCACCTCTGAGGACTCCCTACCCTCAGAGGTCCTTGGAGGCTGATGCTGGCCTGGGAGGGCCACTGGGTCCATAGCTGGAGTGGGAGGATGCAGGGTCTCCTTTCGGCCCCACTTTAGGCTGAGCCCCTGATGACCCAAGGCCCCCTGGGTGGGCCAAGCCCATGTGCCCAGCTGGGGACAGTGAAGGGAGTGGGTGGAGCCCGGGCAATATCCCTTCAGGCCACACCCCCCATCTAGATTTTGGGTACAGCTCGGGTCCTCCAAGGTGTGGACCCAGCGGCTGCCTGGGACTGGGTGGCAGGCCCCACCCAGGTGTAGAGAGCTGGCCTTGCTGCTGGCCCGCAGGCCCGAGACCAGAAGGTGACTGGAGATCTGGAAGCAGCCCGGCGGCTCGGCTCCAAAGCCAAGTGCTACAACATCCTGGCCACAGTGTGGGCTCTGGTGCCGCCCCTGCTGCTGCTGGTGCTGGCGGTGACCGGCGCCCTGCACCTGTCCCGGCTGGCCCAGGGCTCCGCCGCTTTCTTCAGCACCAAGTTCGACGACTCAGACTATGACTGACAGGCTGGGCCCTGTCCCCGCCCTGACCCAGGGGCCCCAACCCCAGGGGCTCCACCCTAATCGCCTGGAACCCTGACTTGCCTACAGGCCTGAGGCCCCAGTCCCAGCCTCCAGCCCCAGCCTGGGCACCTAACACTGACCCTGAAGATCCTCCACGGTGACCCCAGGGCCTTACCCTCACCTCAATCGATGGCCCCAGTCCCCTAACCCTCCCCCCCCACCCCCAGGCCAGCTCCCCCCTCCCCAGTCGCCAGGCTCAGCCTCAGTTTCACAATTAAAAGCGCCTGGCTCCCGAAAGTGCCTTCCAGGACTGTTCCTGGCTGGGGTGGGGGAGGGTATCTTCCTGAGGGGAGCTACCCTAGGGACCACTGCAGCCAAATCCCCCTGGACTGCCCCCAGCGTCCATGGTGGACGCCCTGCCTTGTTGGCTTGGTGCCCCGACTGTCCCCTATGTTCAGGCACTGGGCGGCCTGCGGCTTCTGGGTGGAGGTGCCCGAGTAGTTTAGAATGAACTTTGAGAAGTCGGGCTTTGATCTCTGCCGCTCTGTGGTTTAGCGGCCTTTCAGAATGTGTGTAGTGTGTCTCCGAGTCCACGTGCCTGCCCATCCCTGAGTCAGCATGTGTGCACACGTGCTAAGGGGAGTCCCTGACCAGTGAGACTTGTCCTTGTCCTGCACGCTCCTGTCCGTGGCTGGGCCTGTGCTGACCTCCTTCTTTGGGTCACTCTCTCCTTGTGACCCTGCGCCCCTTTAATTCTGATCTGTCCCAGCAGTGGGTTCCCTCCTTCCTGGATCAGTGGGGATGGACACAGACACACAGGCACACAGACACGGTTACGCCATCACCCATGCACATGTCCATCACGCACAGGTGCACCTTCCGCACACGCACGATTGTACAGAAAGGGAGGCGTGGGGGGTGAGGGCGTTTTCCCAGTGCCTCTGTGCGGGTGCACATCCTCGCATCAGGTACTCCCCTCATGTGACCCCCCGGCAGCCCCAGCAGAGGCTGGCAGAGTGGGGGCTGCCAAAGACACACGCACACCCTGTGTGGCTGGGGGTGAGGCCTCTGGGCCTTGCTGTGGCCGGGCCAATGACAGGGCAGGCTAATTGCAGGGGCCTTAACCACAGGGTGGCTCAGGGCTCTGAATGCCCCACCCATGGTCCCTTCCCGCCCTTTGTCTGCCCACCCTGCCTGGGCTGGGGGCGTGGGTCTCTGTCTAGCTGCTGTACTTGGAGCCCCCAGAGTAGCCCCCCTCTTGTGACAGCCAACAGTTGGTCCAGCTGTCTCCAAAGCGTGCCAGCAGAGATGAGTCCCGGCCACAGGCCGGCGGTACCCCAGCCCCCTGCTGAGTGTGCGCTGCTCTGAGCCAGCCCCTGAGGCAGAGGTTGTGCTGGCCGGGGCCTGGGGTGGAGATGGAGCAGTGCCCCTTCCTGGGCACTGGCCCTACATTGGACTAAGGACAAGGCCAGCGCTCGGACTAGGATGGAGACGGCGTTCCAACACTGAGCTCCAGGTTTGGCCCAGGAAGGGACCAACCCATGCTGGACACAGAGGCTGGGAGCAGGGGTCAGCCTGTGTGTAGCCGGGTACATGTCTCCAAGCAGGGCATGGTCTTCTGGTCTCCACAGTTGGTGAGGGGAGCAGACATTGTCCAGCCCTTGCCCAGTTGCTGAGGACAGAGAATATGCGGTCAAGCCAGGCACAGGTCACCGGCAACCCTTCCAGCCTGTCTCCTGGGCAGGTTGAAGGACCCTGGTCAGGTTCAGGCAATTGGCTGTCATGGGCTGGACCAGCCAGGCCAGCACACACATGCTGCCACCCTGTCACGGCCCCTTGGAGGGTTGCCCCTCCAAGGCACAGGTGGGTATGCGTGCACACACACACACGGCACACACACGCGGCACGTATCAAGCGACGTCAGTCCTGTGGGTGAAGGGCCACCTGCCACCCCCACGTGATGCCTGTGCCCACATCTGGCTCCAGGGCTGCAAAGGCAAGTGTCTGCTTCATGGGGACAGTCCCTGGCCACCATGCTGTGCTTGAGCAGACCTGCCTGGGCCTTTGCGGCACTGCCACTGGCTGAGCGAGAGCCTGTGGGAGCCCCACCAAGTCGCGGGATCCATTCTGAGGCCACAGGCCCTCAGGGAGCTGGTCTGCAGCTCGGCCACACTCCCTGCAGCCACCCCCTTCCCTCTCTCCCTCATGGGGCTTCAGTCCATCACAGTTTGTCTGCCTGGTGTCTGCTTCTTGGAGAACTCAGGCTAACTCTCCACTGAGAACAGAGAGCACGGTTTGCAAATGAAGGAGGGGCGCAGACATTGACGGGACCCGCTTACTTGCTCTACGCGAGCAAGTGACTGTGCTTCCCAGCCGCGTGGAAGGGAAACTTGATCCTTTACGAAATCCTCACG